TACATTATAAAAAAACACCCAGTGCCTTGGACTTTTCAGGTCATTAATAAGTATCTGTGCTTGATGAATATCAAGTATGATGGATGTTACGGTAGAATTGTGTCCCCCAATAAGGAGATATTGAATTCCTAACCCCCAAGACTTTAAAATGTGACCTTATTTGGAAATAGTATTATTGCAAAAGTAATTAGTTAAGATGAGGCCATACTGAAGTAGGGTGGATTCTTAATTCAAAGAGACCAGTGTCCTTGTAAGAAGAGAAGAGACAGACAGGGAGAACGCCAGTGACAATGAGGCAGAGATTGAAGTGGTGCACCTACAAGGCAAGGAAGCCACGGATGAAGGCAAACACCAGAGGCTAGAAGAAGCAAGGAAGCCTCCTCATACACGTTTCAGAGGGAGCACGGCTCTGCTGACAACTTGATCTTGGACCTGGAGCCTCCAGAACTGTGAGAGAGTAAAGTACTGTCATTTTAAGCTACCTAGTTTGCAGTGCTTTATATGGCAGCCTTAAGAAACTAATGGAATGCAAGAGCAAAGCTTTGAGATCAGATGAACCTAAAGTCAATCCCAACTACATCATTTAATCATGTGATCTTGGGAAATCTACTAACTTCTCTGTCTCTCTGTTTTCTTAGCTGTAAAATGAAGACAATAGTTGTTTCACAGGATTTTTATAAGAATTTCATGTATAAATGTATTATAAACTTCACATAGAGCCTAGCATAGTATGTGCCCATATCCCTTTTTCCCACTGCAGTTTTAAATGAGTCTTTTACTTATGCCACCTGGTGTATTCATTCATTGAATGTCTTCTCTGAGTTAGACACTGCTCTAGGCATTTGGGACACAGAGTAAACAGAACAGAAAAAAATACCCTTTTAAGGGAATTTACGTATGGATAGCAAGCCTGTTCTTTTTCTTAATAAATGAATGAATAAACTAAAACCCTCATTACTATTTGTGCTAAACTCTGCTTTAACGAATTATGATAAGAAAGGAGTGGATTTGGCCAGTAAACTACAGGGTTAGATCCTTTTTAAAGTATCAAAACACTTGCTACAAAGCTATCCTAACTGACGCCTTGCTTAAGGATGAAGCAGCATGAACTAAGATTATCTTTCCCTATAAGATGTATGGGTGCAGAAAACAGTTTTTGTTACATTTCTTAACTGCAACTCCACATTTTAATAAGACTCAATAAGAAAGCAATTAACTTTAGCATACACAAAGTTATTAAATGGTTAAATTGTCATATGTAAAGACACCTTCAAGTAAATCTTCAACATTGAAAATGAAAAAAAAAAACCATTACGCTACTGTAATTTTCAATCTGAAGAAAGAAAATCTTTATATAATTATGATCATTTTTTATCATTTTCTAAAATGCATGTAATGGCAAGCACTACAGTAACGAAGAAAATTTTAACTAAGTGCTATTGAAAATGCAAAGCAATGGAAGTAACAAAACAACAGGAAGCTCTTAAGCATTAGAATATTAAGAAAGAATGAAGAGAGGATCAACAGATTTTTCATCTCAAAGATAATAAATTATTTTATAATAATTTGATATGATATATTTATCAGTAGGAAGGGTGTCAGAGAATGTAAACATTTGGCTTCAGTGATTCTCGGGTTATCCTGAATGTGGATTCTCCCCCTCGTCCCACATCTCTCTGGCTCCATGTCTCTAGGGTTCTCTTGTCCAGTCACAGTAGCCACATGCCACATGGTGTGTGGCCACAGCGTTCTTTTTTTTTTTTTTTTGAGACAGAGTTTCACTCTCTTGCCCAGACTGGAGTGCAATGGCGCAATCTCAGCTCACTGCAACCTCTGCTTCCCAGGCTCAAGCGATTCTTCTGCCACAGCCTCCCAAGTAGCTGGGATTACAGGCACGTGCCACCACACCCAACTAATTTTTGTATTTTTAGTAGAGACGGGGTTTCACCATGTTGGCCAGACTAGTCACAAACTCCTGACCTCAAATGATCCACCTGCCATGGCCTCCCAAAGTGCTGGGATTACAGGAATGAGCGACCACACCTGGCCACTGCATTCTTAATATGGGACATGTCCAGACTGAGGTGTGCTATAAGGGTTAAATGCATACCAAATATTGAAGATTTTGTATGAAAAAAGAATATAAATTATTTAAATTGTTTTGTATATTGAGTTCATTTTGAAGTGATAATATTTGGAAGCTTGAAATAAAATATATTATAAAATTCACCTGTGACTCTTTCCTTTTAATATATCTACATGTATCTACTAAAAACTTAAAATTTCATATGTGGTTGACACTTGTGGCTCACATTACATTCTATTGGACGGCACTATTCATATTATGGAAGTCCCGGTTGTGGGCAAGAGCAGGGTTTGTTGTAGTAAAGATCAGAAATCAAGTAATTAATTCCTACCACTAGCTGATTGTTTGACCTTGAGCCAGCAAAATCATTTAGCCTACTGCAGCCACCTCACCAAAACCTAGTGCCACATTCATTCAACAACGGCAGTTGTTCCAAAGGTGAGCATATGACTAAATGAATACTAATAAAAGTCCTTTTAGATTTGAATTATGAAACTGACAGTAAAAGTTTTCTTTCTACTAAGACTGATAACCCAAAAGGACGGGAATCTGTGACTGTTAAGGTGTAGAGAGGAGACTGATCTTCAGAGGAAATAACAATAACACATAGAGGGAAGCAAAGCTGATAGAAAGAGAAAGAGACAATGAAAGAAAAAGAAAGAGGAGGAGGAAGAAAACTGTGTTTAAGCCTCTAGAGCTAGCCATGCCTGAAGCCAGAGCAGTGTTGAACTTCCCAACTCTGTGACATAGTGAATTCACTATTTTGTTTGAGCTTACCTTGAGTCTAAATTCAATCTTTGGCATCATAAAAAAACCCCAATCAACATCTGCTTGTCTAAGACCAAATCAATTAAACCTTTGACTTTCAACCTGTGAATCAGTGTCAAGCTATTCTGCAAATGACAAAATGCTTAAAATAAGCCAAAATTCATCACCTATTGATAGAATCTATATGCAGAAAGCAAACCTAAGGGAGATACTCCTTTCCTTGAGATAAGCAAGTTGCATATAGTCCAATGAGCCTCATTTGTGCTCCCATTTATATCACAACACTCACAAAACCTGATGGCATTGATTTATACTACTGGACTTTAAAACTTTCGAGGGCAAGACACATTTTATCTTTGTATGATGACTACCTCTTTGCCACCCAGGGAGGTAGATAGGAAAATATTAATATCTCATAATTCATGTAAAAAAAAACTTCAAAAAGTTAAAAGACTTCTTAAATAACAATACTAGTAAATCAGATAAGAATCCAGGTCTCATGACTCCACAGCAGTACTTGCTGCACTGTAGAAAGAGTATCTAGCATCATTATAAATTAACTAAAAAGAGTCAGATACCTGCAGAATCTGTCAATCATACTGGTAATAGTTTCACTGCTGTCCCTTACTTCCCATTTCCCAAGCATTTTCAAGCTTAATTTCTACATTAAAATTCTCCTCCTCAAACTCCCTCCCTTCCCTTTTCCTCTTAATAAATCCACTTACCAGAATAAAACCAAGTTTCACGACTTGTAACTACTGGAACGTTTTGCTTGCAAATAGGAAGCTAGAGCCCTTCCCCTAAAAGGAATGCCTGCTTCTTCTAAATAAGAGACAATGAACCATGACAGGGAAACCTCCCTTCCCCATAATTCAAAGAAAAGCTTTCCTTGATAAGCTTTTCTGCCAGGGAGGGCTGGTTCTGACTGCAACAAAGCAATGCCCAGTCTCATTTTGATCTTAACACACTAAGTAGGAGAGACTGTAATGTAAGAAGGACAGATTCTGCCTTTCCTTTACTGCCCTTGTATCATGTCTTACATTTAGAACATTTTTAGCAATATGGTTAACACCATAAAATCTCATATATATATAGGCATCATATAAACACACATATAAATACACACAAATTTAGGCAAATAGAAGAACAGACTCTGTGACTAATACAGTTTTATGGTGAAAACTGGAATTCTGTATAACAGTTGTCTCTGTTCATCTTGTGCTACAAGAATGAAATATCGAAGACTGGCTAATTTATAAAGGACAGGGATTTATTTCTTACAGTTTGGGAGGTTGGGCAGTCCAAGATCAAGGGTTTGGCATCTGGAAAGGACATTTTTGTTCTCTCATCTTGCGGCAGAGGGGAGAGAAGGCAAGAGGAGGCCAAAGTCACCCTTACAAAATGGCACTAATTCTACCCCTGAGGGTGCAGTCTCAACGGCATAAGCACCTCTTAAGGGGCCCACCTCTCAATACTGTTACTAGAGCAGTTAAATTTCAACATGAGTTTTAGAGGGAACAAATATTCAAACCAGAGCACAGTGGGTGTATAGATTTCAATTTTTATAATAATCCTTTCATAACAACATTTTGAGTCTATAGAGCTGCAATGCCTTAACAGTCTAAATATTTCATTCAGGACAGAAAAAAGAGAGGTGGCAATTGAGAAGTACTACAATAATTTCATGAGAGCTATTTTTTTTGTTCACAAGACTGTAAGAGTGGGAATTCCACTTTAGCCTGCCAGGAAAAGAAAGCTTAAGAGTAAATTCTGGGAACAACTAATTTTTTAAAAATCTTTCTATAAAAAATACTCAGGCTGCTACAGTCTTCAGTCAAGGAATGCTGAGTCCCTACTAAGTGTCAGGCCCTATGCCTGGGACTTAAATTATGTATGTGAAAACAGCATATCACCCTGCCCCCTGGTGTAGCCTTCAGTTATTAATTCAACAAATATCTATTAAGCATCTTGTATGTCACAGGCACTACATGCAACTACAACAACAACAACAACAACAAAACAGCTAAAATATTCACCTTCATGGAGCTTACATCCAATTGGAGAAAAGAAATAATAAATAATATTTAAAATTATTTGTTTATGTTAGCTATGTATTATTTTATGAAAAGAAGTTTATTTGGCTTACGGTTCTGGAGGTGTGAAAGTTCAAGAGTGTGACACTGGCATCCGGTGAAGGCCTTCTTTTGCAACATAACATGGCAGAGATCACATGGAAAGAGGGCAAAAGCAAGAGAGTTAGGGAGAGTCGGCTTTTATAACAAAGCCCCTTCCAAGACAATGAACCCATTCCTGTGACGGTGACATTAATCCATTCATGAGAGCAGAGTGATTAAGTTTCCAACACATAAAGGTTTGGGAGACATATTCATATCACAGCATCTTCTAAACAGAGCCTCAGAGTCTACTCTTGCCACCCCTTTTCCCCACAATCCCTTCTTAACAATAGGCTATTTATTTATTTATTTACTTATTTTGAGATGGAGTTTCACTCTTGTTGCCCAGACTGGAGTGCAGTGGTTCAACTTTGGCTCACTGCAACCTCCACCTCCTGGGTTCATACTATTTTCCTGCCTCAGCCTCTGGACTAGCTGAGATTACAGGCACCTGTCACCACGCCTAGCTTTTTTTAATTTTTTTTATTTTTTTATTTTTTTATTTTTTAGTAGAGATGGGGTTTCACCATGTTGGCCAGGCTGGTCTCCAACTCCTGACCTCAAGTGATCTACCTGTCTTGACTTCCCAAACTGCTGGGATTACAGGCAAACAATGGGCTATTTAAATTCAAAAATTAATCACAGGTTTTGAGGAAAATAAAATTTCTGCACCGGTTAAGGGTACAGAAATTCAGAATGCTGCTGTCAGGGAGGATTCTATTTTAAATACATCAGCTGAAACCTCTCAATGGGCAATACTTGAATGGAACCCCCAAACTATGAAGAATCAAGTCGTGCAAAGACCTGTAAGAAGAACATTGTAGGCACAGACCCCTGTACAGAGGAGCATGTGGCTGAAGCATGGGGAGAGCAGGTAGGGAACGATGTTGGAGAGATGGGCAGGAGTTGAGTAGGCAGCTGACTAAGGAGAATTTTGACTTTAAGTACGATACAAGGCCATTTAGGAACTATAAGTAAAATCGCATGCCTGAAAAAGCTTACTGTTGGTACTACATGAAGAATAATTTGTAGACTTAGATATGGAAGCAGTGAAGCAGTTTGAGGCTCTGCAGTAATCTGAGAGATAACAATGGCCTTGATTAGAGTATTAATGAAAAAGATGGTGAGTATACAGACACCAATAATAGTGCCAAGCACTATTCTGCTGGCTTTGTATTTATTTGCTTGACTCTCATGTTCAATATTTGAACCATTTATTAACAATCCTACCAAATAAATACTAAAAGTACACCCACTTTACAAATACTGAGAAAAAAGCAGAGTGAATGTAAATCAATTCCTCAAGACTACACATGTAATAATTAAAAAGGGGATGTGAAGGTTTAGCCAAATGAAAAGTTAGAGGGAACAGCCCACACACAAGATCACCTTCACTTCTGATACCAGCTACAAGTTTGAGGTCCCCAAGACCACGCTATGGTTTTATAATCCACTAAAACTCACAGAACACATTGAAGGCTATTTTGCTCATGGTTAGGGTTTCTTACAGATTGAAATCAGCCAAGGGAAAACACTCATAGAGTGGAGTCCAAAAAAGTATCAAACATGGAGGTTCCAACTGCCCTCTCCTTGTGGGGTCAAGACAGCATGAATTTCTCCACATCTCTGTATGACAATATTCATGAAGAACTCCCAACAAGGAAGCTCACTTGACTTTGGTGTTCAGAGTTTTTACTGGGGCTCCATCATGTAGACAAGATTGATTGCCCAAGTGTTTGATCTCAGTCCTTAGTCTCCCTGGAACTCTACTGATACTGTGTGACTCACCCTTCCCGCCTCCAAATCATACTGCTGATTCTTCTGGTGTGTCCATCCTCCACTCTAAACCATGTTGTTAAGACTATTCTGACCCAAGGTTCTCAGGCAAATAAAGACACTTCCCTCAGGCATGACACACCAAGGACTTAGAAATTACCTTACAGAAGTCAAGGACAAAGGCAAAATCTATCTTTGGGCAATGTTAGATTCTTTACTACACAGAGGAAGAAAGGGATATGAGAGAAGTGAAGAGTTCTTTTTCACCCATGTTAAATTTGAGATGAACATTTTATATCAGAATAAAGATGTTAAGTAACAGTTATATAAACATATCCACAGTTCAAGCATGAGAAGACTGGACTGAAAACAAACATTTTGGAGTGAACACTCTATAGATGTTATTTAAATTCCAGGGGATATAACAGGGTAAATTAAAGAGAAAATTTAAACTCAGAAAAGAAGAGGAACAAGAACTGAGCCCACAAACACAGCCACACATAGGGGTCACAGAAAAGAGGGAGGTATAGCAAAATAAATTTAAAAGACCATACATTTAGAAGAAAAAATGAAGAAGAGAGTAGAGAAAGTATGTCCAAAAAGAGAGGTTTATGTAGGAAAACCACCTCCTATTTTGGAGATGCATACTGAAGTATTTAAAGATACTTGCAAATGCATCTGTACATCTGTAACTTTCAAATGAATCAGCAAAAATTAGAAGATAAAATACATATTATAAACATAAAGGAAATACAACAAAATGTGTGTCTGAGATTATTGAATCTAGGTGCAAAATGTATGAGGGGTTCATTGTAGTATTCCTTCAACTTCTTGTATGTTTGGCATTTGGCATAATTAAATGTTGGGCATGAGAAAAGATACAGCTAATGGCCAGTGCCAACATGTTTCTGAGAAATCCAGAAGGTAGGGCAGATCACAGACTCTTGGAATTTGGTATTGGAAAAGGCAGGAGACAAAAGTCCTGAGTTAAGAAATTTAAAGAGAGAATGAGAACGGAGAAAGATGTGAGGAGAGTTTCTCTAAAGAAAGGCAGAGAAATTGAGCAGAGGTTATAATAATGTAGTGAAGGCCCTCACTACATAAAGTGGTAGAGATTAGGAGGGAATAGGAAACTTCAAGGCTTCAGAAGAAGCTGATGCTTGAGCTACATTTGCAAGGATGTGGAGGTTTTTACCAGATTGAGAAAAAGAGACAAATTCCAGGCAAGAAAAACAGCATATGTAAGGACATGAAGATATAAGAAAGGTGTGCTACTACATTGAGTCTGAGTATCTGCAGTTTGACTAGTACTACGGCTGCTAAAATGAGTAGAGGTCAGATCACAAAATAGCCAGAACTCCTCAAAAAAAGGTCTAGGTTCCTAACTTAAGAATCCAGTGCGTCACTAATTAGAATGCAGATTCACAGATTCCACTGACAACCTGTTGAATCAGAACCCCTGGCAGTGAGACTCAAACTGAGAACTGGAAAAGGAGAACCCTGTATGGGAAAGTGTGCATGCGTTTCTTCTCCCATTCCAGCCAGCATCACGTGGTCTTTCTTCTCTTCCTTCTCTATACATAGACTTTTCATCTTTCCCCCCGCCCATCCTCTTACCTGTGTCCTCATAGCTTTTGCTCCTCAGAATTTTGGTTTGCTTATGGCTTGATCTTGCATGGAATTGGCTCCAGCCAAGACCCTTCAGCACACACATCCACTGCAAATCAACAACTCCATCTAGATGTCCCCATACCTTTTAGTTCCTATTACGGAGAGAGAAACTGAGAAAGGAGGAGGGAGAGGAGAGGAAGAAAGACAATTGTCACACAGAATGGGCCAAGAGTCCATCTAGACTCAGTAAGCAGTGAGTAGGACCATGTCACATGTACATAGGTGCAGGTTCTCTACAACAACGCTACTCAAATGCAAGTGTACAAGGAGAAGAGAAGCTTGTGCCATAATGTAAACTAGTGCACTTCATTCATCAATAAGGTGTTGCTATGAAAAATATAAGAAAAAAACATCAGTTGAACTAAACAGCATGCTTAGTGGCACAGTTAATTTATCTTCTGGCACAAGCTCCTTATCTTATTGAGAACTGAGCCAAACATCTCCAAGACCTGTAACCAGACCCTGGAACACACTCTGAGGAGCACTGCTCTAAAGAGAACTGTGGATTATACAAGCATTTAAAATAAAACAAGATAAAATATATGTTGATATTACTGATCAAAAATCACCAAAATGTTCATCTAGCAAACCCATGAGGAAAGTATTCTGAGAAATATACAAAAGTGTAAGACTGATTTTATCCACAAGTATCAGATCATGTGTATTTCAGAAGACAGTGAGAAATTAGCTTATGGTTTAACTTGCCACGGAAAATAACTCGGACTACTAGCAGGTAAATTTCTGTTTTTATAAAGAAGAAAGTGTGAACCCGAAAGCACTGAAGGTATGCCTTTATAGCTTATTTTTACTTCTCTCCACAAGGTACAGTACTAGAATGACCTGGGAAGCATAAAAGTCAGAGAACATTTTTTTTAAACTCTCTTCAAGGCTGTTAGGAGGTATAAAATACACACCTTGAGCAAAATAAATGTATGCACCTCAAGAAGATAATAAATCACTTGTAGCTTTATTGTTGTCAGTCATTGGTTTTTGAAGGGCAAACCGTACTTGATTCTTGACTTGTTCTTTGCTTCACTGATCAGCAACTTTCTTTAGAAGCTACAAAGTTTTCAGTGTTGACAACTCTGTGATTTTTTTTAGGGAGAAAAGTCACATATTTTTAAAATACTGTTTCATGGACATATTGGCGTGCAATTGAATTCCACAAACCTCAATTGAACACCTACTATGTGCCAGGAACCGTTTCCTCTGGGCTCTAGCAGGAATACAGAAAGGAATAAAATGGCATCAAGGAGCTCATTAATGACATTTTATTCCTTTCTGTATTCCTGCTAGAGAATATTAAGGTGGACTGTAATTAGTGTTATATTTGGGAAGAAAAGGGAATGATTCATTCTGACTAAGTGAATGTAGGGAGACTTCAAGACCAAGACCAAGATGACTTAGTCCTTGAAGGACAGGCAGTAGTTCAAGAGGCAAGGTAAGAGGTAACTAAAGAACATACCAGGCAGAAAAAATACTTGAACTCAATCATGAAAGAGTGTGGCTCATTGAGGAATCCTCAAGAAACCTACTCACACTAGTCCATAAATGTGTTATGGGAAGGATGCACAAAGTACGTAAGATCACGTGGGCTTACAAATGCAAGTGCATTCATGGAATTAGGAGAAGTCCTAGGTTACTAGATCATAGAGGTTGTATAAAAGAGTAGTGGGTTCTGAGGCTGGGATACAGATTAGAGCCATATTATGATAAGCTTTGAATGCTATTCTGAGGAATTTAGTGCAAGAAAAAATTAGTGTAAATTTACAGCATTGTAAAACACCCTTTGTTGTAGATCGTACCATTGTTTGAAATTACTCAATCCTTGCTTCTCCTATAGCAATTTCCCTGTTCCACTGCCTTTGGCTTCAGTCGTGTGATTTGCTTTGGCTGATGGAGTAGAATGTGAGCAGACATGCCCTGTATCCCCAAATGGAAACTTTCAGAGGTATTAAAGAGTTTCACCACACTGTTTGCTCCTGTACCCCTGCCATGGAGAGGTCTGATTCTTTAGCCTGAGTCTCAGAATGGAAAGAATCAGGAAACACACCTCAACCTTTACAACTTCAATCTGGGTAAGAGATGTAGTAACAGCCAGCAATATAGGTAAACAAAAAATAATTATTATTAAAAAATAAAATATAGACTGTGGTAATCTACTCTGAGGTGTCAAGATATTTTGTTATACAGTATAATGCAGTGAAAGCTGAATAATTCATACTTTGAAAATTATAAAACTAAGACATTTTCAATATAAAAATATGGAAAAGTTTAAAGAAAAATAAAATAACCTGTATGTACAATCCCCAAAGATAGTCAGTTATAGAAAACATTTTGCAATGGCCTTCTAGGTATGTATATACATTTTAAATGAAATTATTATTGTACTAAAAATTCTATCAGTGCAAGTTTCCATGCATTAAAATTTTTTCTACTTATCTCACACCATTTACAAAAATTAACTCAAAATAGATCAAAGATCTCAATCTCTGAGATGAAAACATAGAGGGAAAGTTTCATGACATTGGATTCAGCAATGAATTTTTGAGATATGACACAGAAGTATAAACAACAACAAAAAATAGATAAATTGGATTTCATCAAAATCAAATAGTTTGTGCATCAAAAGACACTATTAAAAGAGTGAAAAATATTCCACAGACCAGTAGAGAATATTTGCAAATCACATATCTGAGAAGGAATTAATATCCAAAATATATAAAGAACTTCTACAACCAAACAACACAAAGCAAACACACTAATTAAAAACTGAGCCAAGAAACTGATAAATATTTCTGCAAAGATCATGTACAAGTGGTCAATAAGCACATGAAAAAATGTTCAACATCACCAATCATCAGGAAAACTCAAGTGAAAACCAAAATGAGTTACCACTTCACACCTATTAAAATGGCTATGATCACAGAAACAGCAAGTGTTGAGAAAGATGTGGAGAAATGGAGATCCTTGTGCATTGCTGGTGGGAATACAAAATGATGCAGCCACTGTGAAAAGCAATATGATGGTTCCCTGAAAAATTAGACATAGAATTATTATATAATCCAGCAATTTGACTTCTAGATAGATACCTAAGAGAATTGAAGATATTTGTACATCAATGTTCATAGCAGCATTATTCACAATAGCCAAAAGGTAAAAACAATCTAAATGTTCATCAATGGATGAATGGGTAAACAAAGTGTGGTGTACACATACAATGAAATATTATTCAGCCTTAAAAAGGAATGAGATTTTGATACATGCTACAATATAAGTGAACCTTGAAAACATTATGCTAAGTGAAATAAGCCAGCCACAAAAAGACAAACATTGTACGATTCTACTTATATGAGGTACCCACAGTAGTCAAATTTATGGAGACAGAAGGTAAAATAGTGGTTGCCAAGGACGAGGGAGGGGAAGATGGGGAGCTATCATTTGATGGGTACAGACTTTCAGTTGGAGAAAATGGAAAAGTTCTGAAGATAGATGGTGGTAATGGTTGCACAAAATTGTAAACGTACTTAATGATGCTGAATTGTACACTTAAAAATTATTAAAATGGTTGTTATATTATGTATATTTACAACAGAAAAATTCTAAAACTTATTTGTAAAAATTCTATATTTTATTCTAGTTTTAAAGCTGATATATATTTCTTATAGAAGACGCAGAAAATTAAAAGTAGTCTTAATTGACTTAACCTGGAGGTAATCAAAACAGAAATCTTCATAGATTTTCTTCTTTATATTTATGCAATTGTGTTTACAAATATGAATTATATTTCACATGCTATTTACATGCATTTATTATTTTTATATTATGCTATCCCTTAACAAAGAAGTAGTAACTATTTTCCTATTCACCTCAATAGTTTTCTACATTATTTTCATTATGATTGGCATTTTCACTTCTGACATAATATATATTGTGTGCATGACTATCTCATCTGCACCTGCCTCCCAAAAAACCCACAAAATTTCCAAATAACAACCAAAAATCATCTGTAACTTTACCAACGTATTTATCACAATTTATAATTAAATATTTCTTTGTGGGATTGCTTATTATTTTTCTTCCCACTGGACTACTAATTCCATAAGCATTTGGTAGGGATCATGCAGGTCCCTACCACTAGCACCTAGCATGGTACCTGCCATTTATTAATTGTTACAATAACTCTTCAATGGCCATCTTTATCTAAACATCTTTGAATATATCTTTGATCATTTTATTTGGAAAAATTTCTAGAAATGGAAATTCTGGGAAATAGAAACTACATATTTAATATAATTGTCACAGTATGTTAAGAGAAGTATGAACCCATCTAGACTCCCAGGATTAGTGAAGAGTACTGCTTTTCCACATTCTCAACTACTCTAGCTGAGAAGTAGGTGAGACCTTCTATTCCTGCTCTCCTATTTCCTGATTCTGTGAACTGAGGAAGCACATGAATAAGTGTGATTTCCAGTGAACAATGTAAATGGAAATCTTTCTGCTGCTTCTCCAAGTAGAGAACTTTGTTTGAAGTCTCACCTCCTAGAATTCAAGCAGCCCCATCACCACCAACCACCTGGCTCTTTGCTGGAAGCTGATATATCTGAATGGACGTACAAGAAGTAAATGCAAAGATCACAACATTCACACCTATGGAGGAAAAAAAAATGATAAGAACTTACAATCATCTAAAAACTGCCTGACAAACATGGGGTACAATACACAAAGAATTTACACAAATAAGGCCGCTTCTCCTACTGTCTTTAAGGTAGCTGGCTCAGCCCTGTTTCTAAGAAGTATGGTAAGCTAATTGCTTTCTTAATCCAACTACATCAGCCTTCTCTTACAGAAATTCTTTCCATAGTCTGTTATATGGTTGCCTATTAATCTAAAATTTAATATTCACTTTCTCTCTGTCTTTTCCTTAGTATCTCAATGGGGAACTAGAAGGGCTGTCAACAGCATAGAAGAAGGTGTAGGGAAAGAGACTATCAGTCAGAAGGAAAACAACTACAATCATAACAAAAAGAGATTCAAAACCTGAACAAAAGTTGTGAGAGGAACTTTGTATTAAAAAGGTAAGAATTAAAGATAAATTGTTGGTTTTATAGATTGGACACCTCAGGAAGTTAAGACAGTGATAGTCAAGAAAAAGAAAAGCCAAATAGTGCAGCTAAAGAAGTAGGAGATGGTATGTTTTACCAAGGATACTGACTTTGAAATGACTCTCTGGTGTCTGTACTGAAGACAATATGGAGTTTAGATCAATAATTCATAATATGTAGATTTTGAATGGGCTGGCCCTCATCTCTCTTTATTTCTCACCCTTGAATTTTATGTTCCAGTCTTACTGAACTCTTCATAGTTCCCTGAATATGCCACCCTTCTCATGCCATTCTGTTTTTGCACACATTGGGTTCTAGATTTACAACTCTCAAGCACTTTTTACCGGTTTAATTTTTGCTCAGTCTTAAACGTTAAAATTAAACATCACTTCCTTTAAGAAAGTCCTCATAACCGTATAGTCAAGGTTAGAAGTACCTCCAATGAGCTCATATTGTGCCCAACAGGTAACTCTGTAAGACACATTCTCAACTGAGGTAGTAGTACCACTAATGGGGAGAAAATCGGTTCTTGGGAGGGCAGAAAAAGAATCTTAACCATTGTCTGTATAAAACACAGATGTACATACAGAACATAAGCACACAGATATATGGTATATCTATCAGTGGTATTAGGCTTTCGTGAGAGAAGCAATTAGGTAAAAACTGTCTGAAATGTTTCATTAAGGAGGCAATGGTGAAAAAAGTCTGAGGCACATAACTCTATAATAACATTTATTATACATAATATATTGTAATTTTCTATATTTTTTCTTCTTCCATCCACTATTCTATATTATGACTTTTTAACAGCAAACACCCTGTTTTGCTCATTTTAAAATCTTTAAACCATCTATTATAGCATATTCTTATGTTAGGTATAAAATAAGTGTTCATTGAATAAATAAGCAAACATGGAAGTCACAACATGAGTAAACTTGAACAAAGATAAAAGCAACCAAGAGTAGTCGCTAACTTAAGGGTCAGATTCAATTATGAAAGAGACTAACTAAGAGGCAAAAAGGTCGATGGTATATTCAATTAGAAATCCATGAAATCCTGAGGAAGATACTATTTCCCCAGAAAATAAGGCTGTCAG